ATGGTTTCGTGCCCCTCCCACCCCTCCAGGGGGCCCCGCCTGAGCGAGGAGGGTATCGGAATACCATACTATTTACATGGTTTCGTGCCCCTCCCACCCCTCCAGGGAGGCCCCGCCTGAGCGAGGAGGGTATCGGAATACCATACTATTTACATGGTTTCGTGCCCCTCCCACCCCTCCAGGGAGGCCCCGCCTGAGCGAGGAGGGTATCGGAATACCATACTATTTACATGGTTTCGTGCCCCTCCCACCCCTCCAGGGAGGCCCCGCCTGTGCGAGGAGGGTATCTACCCTATTTACAGTTTCGTGCCCCTCCCACCCCTCCAGGGAGGCCCCGCCTGAGCGAGCAGGGTATTCGCACACCATGTTATTTATCAGGTTTCGTGCCCCTCCCACCCCTCCAGGGAGGCCCGCCTGAGCGGGCAGGGTATTCGCACACCATGTTATTTATCAGGTTTCGTGCCCCTCCCACCCCTCCAGGGGGCCCCGCCTGAGCGAGCAGGGTATTACACCATTTATCAGGTTTCGTGCCCTCCCACCCCTCCAGGGAGGCCCCACCAGAGCGGGCTCCATATTATTTAGCAGTTCGTGCCCCCCCACCCTCCAGGGAGGCCCCGCCTGAGCGAGCAGGGTATTCGCACACCATGTTATTTATCAGGTTTCGTGCCCCTCCCACCCCTCCAGGGAGGCCCCGCCTGAGCGAGCAGGGTATTCGCACACCATGATATTTATCAGGTTTCCTGCCCCACCCATCCCTCCAGGGAGGCCCCGCCTGAGCGAGCAGGGTATTCGCACACCATGCTATTTATCAGGTTTCGTGCCCCTCCCACCCCTCCAGGGAGGCCCCACCAGAGCGGGAAGGGTGTTCGCACACCATGTTATTTATCAGGTATCCTGCCCATCCCACCCCTCCAGGGAGGCCCCGCCTGAGCGAGCAGGGTATTCGCACACCATGTTATTTATAAGTTTTCGTGCCTCTCCCACCCCTCCAGGGAGGCCCAGCCTGAGCAAGCAAGGTATTCGCACACCATGTTATTTATCAGGTTTCGTGCCCCTCCCACCCCTCCAGGGAGGCCCCGCCTGAGCGAGCAGGGTATTCGCACACCATGTTATTTATCTGGTTTCGTGCCCCTCCCACCCCTCCAGGGAGGCCCCACCAGAGCGGGCAGGGTATTCGCACACCATTATTTATCAGGTTTCGTGCCCCTCCACCCCTCCAGGGAGGCCCCACCAGAGCGGGCAGGGTATCCGCACACCATGTTATTTATCAGGTTTCGCGCCCCTCCCAACATTCCAGGGAGGCCCCGCCAGAGCGGGCAGGGTATTCGCACACCATATGATTTATCAGGTTTCATGCCCCTCCCGCCACTCCAGGGAGGCCCCGCCAGAGCGGGCAGGGTATTCGCACGCCATATTTTATTATCAGGTTTCGTGCCCCTCCCACCCCTCCAGGGACGCCCCACCAGAGCGAGCAGGGTATTCGTACACCATATTATTTATCAGGTTTCGTGCCCCTCCCACCCCTCCAGGGAGGCCCCACCAGAGCGGGCAGGGTATTCGCACACCATGTTATTTATTAGGTTTCGTGCCCCTCCCACCCCTCCAGAGGGGCCCCGCCAGAGCGGGCAGGGTATCCGTACACCATGTTATTTATCAGGTTTCGTGCCCCTCCCACCCCTCCAGGGAGGCCCCACCAGAGCGGGCAGGGTATTCGCACACCATATTATTCATCAGGTTTCGTGCCCCTCCCACCCCTCCAGGGAGGCCCCACCAGAGCGCAGACAAGAAGCAATGGAACCCCGTAACATCTTTATTTGGTCAGGAGCTCTGGCTTGGCGGGCCGCTCCGCTGGTTCTGGCCCACCACGCCGCAGCGCGAGGCAGTGTCCACATCCCATGATGAACCAACAACACACACCCATACCCATAGGGGGGTCGGAAAGGGCTATGGGTGCGTGTTGTCGGATGGGGGTCCCCGCTCGAACGGGAGCGTTCCCTAGGGTCCGACAACCCGCACCCATACCCATAGCCAGTCCTCCTCCCAACGACCCCCTTATGGGTATGGGTGTGTGTTGTTCGTTCGTCAATCCCAGTCCCCATGCGTCAGCGTCACGAGCCTTTCCGATCCTCCCGGCCCGCGGCAGCCAGCGGCACGCTTTTTCCGCCTGCAGGGCATGGCGTGTCGCCGGGGCCGCGCGGCACGCGGAGCCAGAGTTCCCGGCCGCATTTTTTTCCTGCCAGCCGTTCGCCGCGCTCTTCCCCCGCGCAGCAAGCCGGGAGCTGCGGCAGCTCCCTCGCCGGCCCCTGCAGGACCCCTAAAACCACGCGAAGATCGGGACACAATCGGATCGGGATAACTCGAAATCTCTGAGAATCGGCGGGTTTGGAGGATATATTATGCGCCGCGGCCGCTCTAGAGCGTTCCGGAACGCTCTGAGAGCGCTCCGGAACGCTCTGGAGCGATTTATCCCGATCCTGGCCCTGGTTTGGACCCCCTGCGCGGCCCCCGACGCGGCCAGCGGCAGCGAAGGCTCGCCGAGGAGGCCAGCTCCGCGGCAAGGGCCTCAGATTTCCGGCGGGGCGTCTTTTTTTTGGTGCGGGGGGGATCTCGGCGGCTCGCCTTGGTTCGATCCGATGTTCTTAGATCTTGATTTCGGCCCGATGTTCCAAATCTGGGGGCTCTTCCTCGATTGAGGCCCCCCTGGCCCTGTTGTCGGGCCCCGTAGCAAGCAAAAATGGGTCCCTGGATGCGGGGCATGAAGCTGCCCATCGGTTGCGGTGCTGCGCACGGGGTGCGCCACGACTCCTCACACGTGGTAGCCATCAACGCATATGATAACGCGATATCACGTTTTCGGAAACTGGAACATATACATTACTAGTGGCGGGCTCTCTTTCAATCCCAGGACTTTTTGAGGGTCGGGGACGACGTCGGGGTGTTGTGGTGTATACTTGTTCCCCGTATCCCCAGGGAAACAACGAAGAATGTATACACCAGGACCCCATATACGCCAGGATTCGCTGTCTTGTGAGAGTTTCGGCGCAGGGCCGGAACAAGCGTTGGTGTATATCTCGGTTCCCTATATCTGCTTCCATGCCGCCGTGAAACATAAGTTGCCCATCGGGAGCATCCAGGAGGCGACAGGGAAGGAGACGCCAGGGGTGTGTGGGTATCACGGCCGGGGCCACGATGTCTCCCAGATGTCTCAGGAGGAAAAAAAACACGCAGACACAATTAATCGTCGGCCCCCAAGAAAATATTGGAAAATATGGGAATTGGGCGGGAAGACAAAAACCCAGAAAATATAAGAAAATATGGGGAATCTTTTGATTTGTGTGTATTTATTTGTGTGTCCCAGGGCCCCGTCAATGTCCTGGCCCTACCCTCTACAGCCGGGGTGACGGACGAAGACGACGGGACCGCCCACGGGGGAGGGGACGTGGGGTGGCCCCAGGGTGGCCCACCTTTCCCAAACTCCCCCCCGCCGCAACTAGGGGAACAAAAAGTGGCATAAACATAAAAACTCGGAGGTCCGCGCGGATTTCTCGGAACGGCGCTGGACCTCCCTCCCTGGCGCGCGGAGCGCGCCAGGGGTGGCGCCGGAGGCGCCGCCGGGGGGCCCCAGCGCCGATCCGAGAAATCCGCGCGGACCTCCGAGTTTTTATGTTTATGCCACTTTTTGTTCCCCTAGCAACCCAAATAGCCCCCCTTGGCTCCAGGATCCGCTCGGTCTAATGTGGTCGGTCTAGCGCCGCGTACATGTGTTCCAAAAGGTTGCAATAGTTATTCGTGTGGAGGGTGGCTCGTCTTCACAATGTGGTTCTCGCCTTAACGCGGCACGCATTAGCTTTAAACGTTTGCAGGACTTCCAAGGATTCTCATGGCTTGCGTCCTAGACATGGAATGTTGGCACGGTTTGTGATTGTCACAGCGCGACAGTCACGTTGACTCTCAGTATCGACGTCCCAGAAGCTGTGTTCCGAGACGATCATTCGTAGCGCTGCCGTCCCAGGACTTTTGGCACGGTTCAAGATTTCCACACGTTTGTTTTCCAATGGGATTTTTCCCTCAGCGAGAATGGATCTATTGAGGAGCCCATGAAGAGGAAACGGGTGGGGTACATTGCAACATCGTTGACGAGCCTTGGGTGTACAGTGGTCCTTCTCTTCCTCCTCCTCCTCCGCCTCCTCCTCCTGTTCCTCCTCCTCCTCCTCCCTCTCCCCTCCCCCTCCCCTTCTGCCTCTCCTCCTCCTCCTTCTCCTCCTGTTCCTCCTCCTTTTCCTCCTCCTCCTCCTCCTCCTCCTCCTCCCCCTTTTTCTCGTCCTCCTCCTCCTCCTCCTCCTCCTCCTTCTCCTCCTCCTCCTCCTCCTCCTCCTCCTCTATCCCGCCTTCCCTTCCTCCTCCTTTTTCCTCTTTCCGTCCGTCCCCCCCTTCCCCTTCCCCTCCCTCCTCCTCCTCCTCCTCCTCCTCCTCCTCCTCCTCCTCCTCCTCCTCCTCCTCCTCCTCCTCCTCTCTCGCTCTCCTTCCTTGCGACGACGGATCCGAGTGTGTTTTCGAATTTAGAGCGAATGGCAGCAACAGGAAGCGAGAAAGCCCAACGGATGTTGACATGTTCTTCTAGGCTTTTGTGTCGTCCTCCTCCCCGTGCCCCATGAGGTGGTAGGTGACAGGAGGCGTAGGTTTCCGAGGAAATAAGCGACGGGATTGTGCGTACGCATCCCTGCCGACGGTCTTTTCACACGTAGGAGATCGAGTCTCACATGTCGAGCGGGCTAGGCTGCAGTACAGAATGCCCAGCCCCTCGTCCGCTTCCAATTGACACGCAGGGGGCACTCCATATTGGCAGGTGGAAAACAGCACTTTGATGTTCAGGCCTGCGCACGTTTCTTTTCGAACCTGACGATGCTCTCAGGCACGCTGAGGCGGAGGTGATAGGCCCTGCCCCGTGCCCCTCTCATGACAACGTTTTACCAGCATCTGTGCAGTCACACTCTCAGGCAATGGTCATCAGGCACGCTGAGGCGGAGACGACAGGCCCTGCCCCGTGCCCCTCGCATGACAACGTTTTGCCAGCACCCGTGCAGTCACGCTCTCAGGCAATGGGCACCAGGCACGCTGAGGCGGAGGTGACAGGCCCTGCCCCGTGCCCCTCGCATGACAACGTTTTGCCAGCATCCGCGCAGTCACGCTCTCAGGCAATGGGCACCAGGCACGCTGAGGCGGAGACGACAGGCCATGCCCCGTGCCCAATTCATGTCAACATTCTGCCAGCATCCGCGCAGTCACGCTCTCAGGCAATGGCCACCGCCACCCCGAAGCAACCCTGGGCAGACGCCAGGACCAGCCTCCCTTCCTCCGCCCTGCCCCCTCGGGCCGCCGCCCCCTCCTGCCCCTGCCACCGCCTCCGGACCGGCTGCCCGTACGCGGCCCTCCTCCTCCTCCTCCTCCTCCTCCTCCTCCTCCTCCTCCTCCCCGTCTCCGGACCGTCTCCTCCTCCTCCTCCTCCTCCTCCTCCTCCTCCTCCTCCTCCTCCGCCACTGTCCGCTTTTGTCCGTACGCGGCCCTTTCCCTGGGGCCGGCGCCTCCTCCGAGTAGCTGTGGCGGCCCCAGGGCACGGCGAGGGCCCCAGGGGCCGACGACTACCGAAGGAGTCGATGGGGTCGGAGGATCGCGCCGCATCGCCGATGCATCGGCGACGCGGCTCGGTGTGGGGCCCGAGTTTCTCCACGCCGGCGTCGCTGCTGCGTCGCCGACATGGCCGATGCATCGGCGATGCGGCGCCATCCTCCGACCCCATCTGCTCGGACTCCATAAAGGAGGCCTCTAGAGGGGGGGGATGCTCAGCGCGGCCACGGCCGGGCGCAGCTCCGAGAAGCCGGCCCAGACGCCGTCCGGGTGGGGCCCAGAGGCGCGAGGTTGGGTGACGTGCCGCCCAGGGATGCCGGGGTTATTATAATGATGTAGGTATTTGCTTGCTGATTCGCCAGTCTGTGCTTGTCTTTGTCTGTTTGTCTGTTTGTCTGTTTGTCAGTGTATGTGCTTGTGATTGCCAGTATGTTGTATCATTTTCAAAGTGTTTGCTGTTTGTTTGTTTGTCCGTGGATGTTTTGTTGTTTTACGTTATTGTTTGGTCAATGTTGTATGATCATGATGCACGTGAATGTATATCTACACATACGGGCATCATGATTCGAGCTTCTTCGGTGTCAAGTTCACTGTGCACGAGGTAACGCCAACCATCCCATGAGTGCCAGCGTGTGTGCTCGTGAGTGTTCCGGGCTGTTGCGCGGCTCGCTCCAACATGTGCCCCTAGTGATGCATACGTGCATGTATTTCAGATACGTCCTGTTTACACCCAACGTCGTGACGCTTCGCGGTGCAGTGATCATTGCATTCCCGAGCGGAGGCAGGTTTTCTGCACGACCGAGTCGAGGAGCGATGTGGCGCTCAGGCACGACAGCTTGCGCCAGGGGCGTTCATAACAGCCCCGCGCCAGCAGAGCCTCGATCATTGGCGCAGGGTAAGCGCATCGGACTTTGCCGATCGCACGCGTTTTACCAATCTGTTACGTTTCATTTCTGGCCACCCTCGGCGTGAAGACCATGCCAGGGCGTCGTGCCAGCAGCACGTGTCTCACGGCTCGTTGTGTGGTACTGTTTTGATGTTCCTGGCAGTTGTGGCTTGTTTGCACCGCAGCGCCAGGCGCGTCACCAGGATCTGATGATCCCTGCTCACCAAGGAATCCGATTAGAGTTTGGATTCATTTTGTCTGCTCGATCTGTTTTCCAATGGAATTGCGCCTTCTGACCAAACTGTACGCCGTCAGGCTTGAGCATGCCAGCGACACAGTTTGTGCCTCACGCAAGAGAAAAATGGTTCGAGCTTCTTCGGCGGCGCGCCGAGGGGGGAAGTGAGATGGTTTGGCCATCGACATTCCGTTTTTGAGCGTGCGCTGGCTCTTGGTAGCCGATGAGAGCGCTCCGATATAGCGTCGATTCGTGTCGATTCAGCGTCGATCAGAATCGACTAATGTCGAGCAGCGTCGGTTAGCGTCAATTCGCAGGAACCAGCAAGATGACATGGGAGCCCGAGTTGGCGCAGAAGTCGGAGGAGTAGATGACCCAGATCTCCGTCTGTGTGTCTGTTTCGGACAGCCGCCGATTTTTTTTTTTTTTTTTTTTTTTTTTTTTTTTTTTTTTTTTTTTTTTTCAGATTTCAGTGCTCGCGGGCCCTTTGCGGGCCCAGGGATAATGAAGGATGGATCTGGGGCGAAATATTACATTGGGGAGCCCTCCCCTTCCACCTTCCATACCTTCCGATCTCCGCGGAAATTGCGGAAGACTTCATCGAAATTCATGGAAACCTCGCGCAATTCAAGGGAGCCCTTATTGATCATATCGAAAATTAGGCGGAAGGTTAGGGCAGAAGATTTGGAAGCATGAGGGGGAAGGACAATCACGAATAAACCTGCGACGAAAAAGCACCTCGGAGAAGAGGGCGGGATTCTGGGGCCACGAACTGAAACAATCATGTCGGCGGGGATGCCAATGCCGGTTTTTCTTCCCTCTTCGCCACGATTGGGTTCGCCCCGAATTTTTGGTCAGGGCTCGCCCCAGGAGATGCCTGTCACCCGAGAAGGCGTGAGCCGCAAGCCAAAGAAACGGTCCGAGACGAAAAACCTGTCTCCAGGAAGCGGTCCAGAGATCCGGGAAGTTTGTCTTGATGAGTGTCAAGACTCCAGAGGTCTGGGAGCCAGAGCGGTCCAGAGGGAAGGGGGCTCGGGATGGGAGGTTGGTCTTGGGGCAAGCCTTAGGATCCAGGGCCAGTTTCCCTGATCAGCGGGCAGGTCAAGGAGCTCAGCACAGGTGGGCCTCATTCAGGGCACCGGGTCCGGCAGGATCCTGCGAGGCTCGAGTTTCGCTGTGTTGATTCGGGAGCCGCTCGCAGCTCGGGCGTTGGTCTTTCATATGGGCTGAGCTGGGTTTGGGAAGACGATCCCCTCGATGCTAAGGAGAAGATGCCCATGTGCCACGACGTGGTGGAGCGCTTCCACAGGATGCCCGAGACCTTTCGTAGGGACTACAGGCAGATTTGGGACGACCAGGCGTGTGGTCTCGCGGAGGGCTCCTGGAGCATGACGACATGGTGGAGGCGGAGCCACGAGCTCATGATTGTTTGGGCTTGCGCCGCATCTGCTGGTCAGTCTTGCTTGCGCCACAACTGCACATCAGACCATGACACGTACGCAACAAATACACAGCGATTACCTCCGAGCGCCTCTGTCGCGCGCCGGGCGGCCCCGGAGATTCCATGCAAGAGGTACGCGTGGGATGAAGAAATGAAGTGATCTTTGTCGTTCCGGAACCCCCTTCGGGGATTGGAAACTTTCGCGGGAGTGGACTTCAGGTGATGAGCTTGAAAATGCGCAACAGAACTTACACCACAAAGTGCACCGACCATACACCTTAAATGCACGAAAATACCAACAATACACCACAAATGCACCATGCGCGCACTGTGCATCGGCCGGGCTCCACGTTTTTTGCTCCTGCGATGCCTCCTGGGATAGAGGCGTCTCTCGGTTTGCACCTGGGCCTGCGCCGATCAGTAGTCGCGTTCCGTGTGCCTTCTCGGAACGTGTGTTCCGCCATCTCGTCGGCCGACCGTGCTAGTCGACGGAGAAAACGGATTCTTGGCGATGACAGATGTCTTGGGATCCCGATAGTGGAAATCGTCGTCGTATGCCCTAGCCAGTACGTTGATCGCAAAATGCTTTGGCGCCCGCGCGAGGACGATTCACGAAACGAAGTGGCATTGAACGGCCTGCAGATGTTCCAGGAGTTTCTTGCAGGCGGATGGAGGTCCTGGGCAGCCTTGGAACGATTTCCCACAGGAGCTGGAGAGGGCGTGCCCGCTGCCCGCCGACATCATCTGGGAGGGCGTGCAGCCGGGCAACGTCTCCAGGATGGGCGCCTTCCTGGACAAGCTGGCGCGGGGGGCGGCCGCCCGGGTGCTTGTCATAGGGGGCTCCTTCACCAGGGGCTCGGGTTGCCAGGACGACCTGGGTCGCGAGAAGCAGGACTGCTCGTGGGTGGCGCGGCTGAGACGGTGGCTGCAGGCCGCCTTTCCGCGTTTCAGCGTCGTCTTCTACGACGAGTCTCGGGCCGGGCAGCCGATTGGCATGTTCCTCAGCGGCCTGGGCGCTCTCTTTCGGTCACGCTTTCTGCTAGAGGAGCCGCCCGACATAGTCTTCATCGACACGATGGCGAACGACGGCGCGTGGGCTCAAGTCGGCCTAGCAAGTATAACCAGGAACGTTTCCGAGTATGGTAGTGTCGCCTTCGAGCAAGCGGTGATCGCCCTGCGAACATTGGCCCCCCACGCCCAGATCATTCTGTTGCAGGATGGCTGCAGGCCTTGCCTATCGGCCGGCGACATGCAGACGAAGGTGGCCACTACAACATCCCTACTGCGAACTATGGGCTCCTGGTGAGTCGGTACAACAGGGACGAGGCTGGGGCGGACCGGCTCTGGCCACACAGTGAACGGGACGAGGACGCGTGGGTCACCGAGGAAGACCGCCTGCACCCTGTTTGGTTGAACTTCTACCCACGGGTGACCGCGAAGAAGAGGAACTTCGGCTACCCGACCCAGCACCCGCCCTGGCCCGTGCACCAGTACCTGGCGGACCTCGTGGCGCTCGTGGTCCTGGACGGCCTGGAGAGGGCCTGCGCGCAGGGCAGGCGCGGCGCGAGCATCGTCGAGAGCTTCCCGGAACCAGGCCCCGGAGCCACCTTCCGGCCGCAGGGTGCCCTGGGCGCGATCGCGAACTGCATCCACCCCCTGACGCACTACTCCGCCGAGGATGCGCGTGCGGAGGGGGCGCCGACGGTCCAGAGCGGGAACTGGCGATTGTTCGAGGACGTGCCCGGCAAGCCCGGGTGGATCGCCTCCGAGGAGGACTCGGTCATTCTGTTTCCGATCTTGCTGGGGGGTGGGGGCTCAGCCGCTCTGACCATCTCTTGGCTCGTGCACACATTGCCTGCACATCGCCTGCACATCGCCATCGCCAATTGCAGTCTTCGTCGCCCCCGTCACCCGGCCATCCTCGTCGACCCCTCCCCCCGCACCTCCGCCTCTTCCTCTTCCTCCTGACTAAGCTCGCGCCCTATTAAAACGCCCATGTGGGGAACTCCGTTAGCATAATTCAGAATTTGTTGAGGATGTTTCGAGCGAAACGTTTGTTTTGTGTTATAGACTGTCCTTTCCTGGGGCCCTGAATTCTGAGGATCTCTCAAGTGGATTGCTTGGTTTCACGTGCCCAGGTCTTGAGGATGTCTCGAGCGAGACGCTTGGTTTCACGCCTCCAGGTGGCCCAGACAGATGTCTAGCATGAGGATTTGTTGAGGATGTCTCGAACCAGAGGCTTGTTTTCACGTGTCCAGGTCGCCCAGGCGGATGTCTAGCATGAGCATTTGTTGAGGGTGTCTCGAGCGAGACGCTTGTTTGCACGTGTCCAAGTTGCCCAGGCGGATGTCTAGCATGAGGATGTGCTGACAACGTCTTGAGCGAAACGCGTGTTTTCACGTGTCCAGGTCGCCCAGGCACAGCACAGCCCTCGGCACGGTACATCAATATCGATACCCTTAGCATTGCAGCCTGGCATGTTGCCTGGCACGTTCCGCGGAGCGTCCCGTGGCGAGTCCCCCTGGCACGTCGCGCGGTGCACGTCCATTGGCACGTTCCGTAGCGCGTCCCCTTGGCACGTCCCGCGGTGCGTGCCCATGGCACGTCCCCTGGCACGTCGCCTGGCGCGTCCCTTGGGACGTTCCGCGGCGCGTCCTCTTGGCATGTTCCCTCTGTCGATTAGTTCTGGGGCAGCTACCATCTGCTCAGGCAGCTCGAGCTTACGATCCAGATCAGTTCGGTGAGGACTCGGATGCCAGGGAGGACTCGATCCACAACGCTATATATAGAGCACAATCGCGGCATGGCACATCGCAGTTCAGCACGGCCCAGCACAGCACAGCCGTCGGCACGGTACATCAAGATCGATCCATTCAATTATGCACCTTGGCACGTTCCTTGGCGCGTTCCGTGGCGAGTCCACCTGGCACGTCGCGCGGCGCGTCCCCTGGCACGTCCATCGGCACGTTCATTGGCACGTTCCGTAGCGCGTCCCCTTGGCACGTCCCGCGGTGCGTGCCCATGGCACGTCCCCTGGCACGTCGCCTGGCGCGTCCCTTGGGACGTTCCGCGGCGCGTCCTCCTGGCATGTTCCCTCTGTCGATTTGTTCTGGGGCAGCTACCATCTGCTCAGGCAGCTCGAGCTTACGCTCCAGATTAGTTCGGTGAGGACTCGGATGCCAGGTAGGAGTCGATCCACAACGCTATGTAGAGCACAATCGCGGCATGGCACATCGCAGTTCAGCACGGCGTAGCGTAGCACAGCACAGCCCTCGGCACAGTACATCATCATCGATACATTCAGCATAGCATGTGCCCGTCGCCCAATCAGGTGTCTTTGAAATGTTGCAATGCCTTACATTTCTATATTCCTTTTCCGGGTTCGTGGGTCGATCATGTTCGACCTTGCCGATCTGCGCGGGGGGGGCCGCTGAATTTGTAATTTATTAGGGTGTATGAGTTCGGAGACGCGAACATAACGTAATTTACAACAGGTTGTTTGTTTCGGGGACGCGAATATCGCGTGATTTAATTGCGTGGGTGGCCTCGGTGACGAAAGTCTTGCGTAATTTACAGAGGTTTATGGTTTCGGAGACACGCATTTGGAGTATTTTGCTATGGTTTATGGCTTCGGAGACGCGACTATTGTGTAATTCGCTAGGGTTTATGGCTTCGGGGGCGCGAATATTGTGTAATTTACGAGGGTGTATGGCCTCGGGGACGCGAGTTTAGTTTATTAATCGCTTCGCTCATTCCGGCGGTCCTGGAGCGCTATTTGGGGCCTCTTGGGGCCGTCTTGGGGGCTTTTTGGGGGCTTCTTGGGAGCGTCTTGGGGCTCCTTGGCGGCGTATTGGGCTCCCCTGGGGCCTCTTGGGGGGCTCTTGGGGGGCCACTTTGGGCGGGAGGGAGGGGAGGGTAGTCGATTGCGCCCGTTGGGCCAGCGAATTTTTACATGTCCCGCGCCCCCCCAGGAATTCAGAGGACGCGATTCGAGCGTGGTAATCCAGACGCTTTTCGGCTCCCCCCCCTCGCGCGTTCAGCAACAATGAAATGTAGGAAGCAGACAGTGAAACTATCACATTGGAAACTGGAAACTGGAACTGGTTCTGGGAACAGCAAACCGTCGTCCTACAGCCTGGTGACCCCACAACGGGTCCAGCGGATTTGCAGCATCAGGTTGGCGGCTAAGGCCCTGGAGTTGGACTTCCCACCAGTCATTCTATTCTTGGACTTGCAGCTGTGCTTCGGGCCCAGAGTGGTCGCACAGCTTGAGTGCTTCTCACAGCCTGTCCAACCGACGCGCAGTGTCATGCAAGGGTCGCGCACTGGGACCATGTTTGCCCGCTGCGTGACCTATTTCGTTTTGGCGTATCTTATGTGGTCGCATCCCACATTGGACGCGAGACTGTGGATTGACGATTTGTCCGAAGGCGTGGTGGCTTCACGTATTTATGCCAAGAACAAGTTGTTGCAGGTAGTCGAGATGACGTCCAACCTTCTCCAGCAAGATGGTTTGCAGATGGCGTCCAAGAGTGTGCTGCTGCATTCGCAACACCAAGATGCCAAGGAGGTGGCCAGGCTACTAAGTCGGTGGATTGTGGCGCGGGCAGGCACGCTAGGAACATTGCTAGGCAGAGGAACGCGAAGGCGACGGCCATGAGTGCGAAGATACATCGTTTTGTCCAGGCTGCCCGTCGCTACAGGTCAGCGATGCGCCTCGAGGGGACGGGGGCCCAACCGGCGGGTCACTAAGGCGAATTACGGAGTTCACGGCGTCGCCATGCTGTCCATACGCAGGAAGTTGGCTCACGTATCCAGCTCGGCGAGGAGAGGGCGGTGCTTGACAGCTGTGCTGGACCTTCGGTGTCCGTGGCAAGACCCTGCAGTGCGTTTTCCAGTTGAATGCGTTCGGATGTGGCTACGTTCTTGCGTCACCACGCCGAGCATCCACACCGGATCCGAGCTGCATGGCCCAAGTTGATTCCCAAGTTTGAGGCGTTGCCTGCGCAGCAAAGGCGCTGACGCGACCGAGGACCCATCAGTGCGGTCATCACATGCTTGCTGCAGTGCGGCTGGGACCCAGTCAGCCCTGCGGAGTCGGGCGCCATGGCATGCGGTCAGCCAGACCGCCACGTTTTCATGTTTGACCAGCTCTTCCCGTGGGAATATGTTGCGCCGCTGCCAGACGTGTCTGAGCACTTGGTACAGCTTCAGAACCAGCAGGCAGCTGCCGAGTTTTTTTTTGCGGGTCAGGCCGAGGAGGGCGCCGACATTCGTTATTATCGTGCTTACCTTCTCGCGCTCGAGAAAGCTGAGCATGGACGCCAGCTTGCAGGGGCGATGTTGTGCGCGGCTGTCGGGGGGCGCGTGGCCCAGGCAGCGGGTCCGTGGCGAGGTCAGTCAGGGCGCTGACAATCTCTGCCCCAGGTGCCAAGCGGGGCCCGTTCCATCGGGATTGGTCGCGCAGGTGTAATAGTGGTGCAGAGGCTCACGCCGCGTCGGGCGAACTGATCCTTCAGGCGACGAGCACGCGCGAGCCCGATGCTTGCTCCTGGTTTCATGGCGCTACGCCTGCGAGTTGGGCCAGAGCCGAAGGTGCTGCGAAGGGGCGCAGGTGGCAAGGCAACGGGTCCGCCCGTCATCTAGACCAGTTCGCTTTCGGCGCTGGCACCGAGTCCGACCCTCATGTTGTTTTCGGCGATGCGAGCGGGTGCGAAGATTCGAGGGGCGAGTGCCTTCGCCGGGTCGGCATCGGACTTCTATCGCTCGCCTCTTTCAACCCTTTCGCGTTGGCCGCCGCCGCGCGCAGCCCCCTCCCTGGGCAGCGCCAGTCTGCCCGCGAGGGGGGCTGGCCGCATTTCTGGCCGCCAGATTCCACTCCGGTTTTCTCGTGTATGTCTCTGATAACAGAGGAGTCATGGAACAAAAAGCTCTTTGCCGTCCCAGCTGGGGAGGGTGTTGATCTTCGGCTGGACATTGGCGAGCTAAGAGAGTCTCGTGATGTCTCCCAGGTTGTGGCTTTGAAAGTCAGGTCGAACTTGCCGGGGCCCGAGCTGGACGGCGCTGGCGCGCCCATGTGGGTAACCGAAGGAAGCGAGGCCGCTGATGAGGTGGCCAGTCTCGCAGCTAACGAGTGTTGCGTCAGTGGATTCGATCGAAGTCGAGTTGCGCAGGCGGGGCACGAGGCGCGCCTGGTCAGGAGGGGGCTGCTCTGCGCCACCCTCGATGCGATGGCGGCGGAGAAGCGGTTTCCTCACGCAAAAAGTCGTGCCCTCCCCCACCCTCTGCCGCCTCCCTCGCCTTCGCCGGGTCCGAGCGTGTGTGTTTCAAAGGTGGCCGCAGCTGTTTTGTTTGCCGTGGCAGTGCAGCCATAGCTTCGCTGGCTGACTGCAGGACAAACAGTTGCACCCAGCTAGAGCCTCAAGCTAATTCGAGTTTCTTGAGGCTGCCGACGGGTCCATTTGTCCACATAGGAAGTGGGTGGACACCCGTGTCTCGCTCAATGTTGTACCACGCGGGCCTTCAGATCTGGTTTTGTGGTTCCTGCGGCTGTTATGCCGATCGGCAGATTCGGCCTACGTCGGCCCGAGATTGTAAACCTGACCTCGCCACGAAGACCAGGCAATCTTACCACAGGGTTGAATGGCCAAGTAGTCGATCTCAGCCCGAACCCTGTCGGGCGGCGGCTGGTCATGTGGATTCGCTTCGCGATAGGTCCAATCCAACCCAACCCCCCTTCATTTCCCCGCATATTCCGCCACCACCTCATCTGGCCTGGTCTGCCTCATCGTATTTCGCCTCCGCCTTATCCTCCTCGAAGCACCCACGATGGTGCCGTCGCCTCGCTGGAGGAGGCGCAACTTGGTCGGGGGTAGAACTTTCTTACATTGCAGGCCAGCTCGTGGTCTCCCGCTTGCTCTCCATCCACGGTGCTGGGTGCATTTCATCTCCTTGAACCGCGCCCCGCTCGGGCACTCGCGACGGTGCCGCCATATCGCTGGGATCGATGATCCTCGGGACGTGTGTTTGCTGAGTTTGTACGTTACCCCGTTCAGCCCCACCGCTACCACGCAGCCTGCGGCGGATCTCATTATGCCGCCTCATTACACGCTGGCGCTGACACGCCCTTTGATGATCATGGACAGAGGCGGACCGACTGGGATTAGTTCAACATCGGCGCTGGTTTCTCCGTGGTCCAACCTTGCCTAACCTTTCACACCCCCATTCAACCCGGCATATCCTCTAATCCGACTTCGTAACCCTTATTCGTTCTCACGAAGGCTTGCCAGGAATTGTTTCCTAATCTATGACCGCGTCTTGTTCAAGCACTTCGCGACGACATCGACACCTTGCCAGAGGAGGAACGATTTGTCAACACGCTGTGGGTCAGAGCCCCGCGACCCCGCCGCGCCGCCAGGAGGCGGGCGCGCGCGCGCCTCGTTCTTCGCCCGCCCCGCGCGCGAGTGAGCGCGCGGCTGGCGCCGGCTGGGGCTTGGCTGCGGGGCCGGCTAGCGCGGCCCCAGACGGCCGTTCTTTGCAAACCTTCGGCGGGGTTACGTAATGTTGGGGACGGGTCCTGAGGATAAAGGGTCCTGAGGTCGTCGCCGCTGTCGGCTTACATGGCCCCCTCCAAGGCCCCCCGTAGGCCCCAGGGAGCGTCCACAAACGACTCGGGATGCGAAGCTGGTCCCGGTGGAAGGCCCGCGGCTCTGTGACCCGTTTCCCTGAAGAACCGTCTCCCTCATGCGGATTCCAGTACGATTGAAATGTAGACGGGAGGAGCTGGGACGACGACCGACATGCGGTTCCCCCCCCATTTTGAGCAGCAGTCTCTGGCGGTGTCGCCGCGTGCGTTCTCTATTTTGAGACAGAATGGCCTGCCCAACGCAGGCCTCTGTCGGGTTTGGACAACGTTCTCTGTGGGGCATCGTCCTTATCTTCTCAGTGCCCACGTTCGGGCGTTCAAAGCCCTGAGAGGAGGTGGTGTCCTGAGGGAGGTGGAGGAGGTGGAGGAGGAGGGGGGGTGAGGAGGAGGGAGGGAGGAGGAGGAGGAGGAGGAGGAGGAGGAGGAGGAGGAGGAGGAGGGAGGAGGAGGGAGGAGGAGGAGGAGGAGGAGAGGAGGAGAGGAGGAGAGGGAGGAGGAGGAGGAGGAGGAGGAGGAGGAGGAGAGGAGGAGGAGGAGGAGGAGGAGGAGGAGGAGGAGGGAGGAGGAGGAGAGGAGGAGGAGGAGGAGGAGGAGGAGGAGGAGGAGGAGGAGGAGGAGGAGAGGAGGAGGAGGAGGAGGAGGAGGAGGTGAGGAGGAAGGAGGAGGAGGAGGAGGAGGAGGAGGAGGAGGAGGAGGAGGAGGAGGAGGAGGAGGAGGAGGAGGAGGAGGAGGAGGAGGAGGAGGAGGAGGAGGAGGAGGAGGAGGAGGAGGAGGAGGAGGAGGAGGAGAGGAGGAGGAGGAGGAGGAGGAGGAGGAGGAGGAGGAGGAGGAGGAGGAGGAGGAGGAGGAGGAGGAGGAGGAGGAGGAGGAGGAGGAGGAGGAGGAGGAGGAGGAGGAGGAGGAGAGGAGGAGGAGGAAGGAGGAGGAGGAGGAGTGAGGAGGAGGAGGAGGAGGAGGAGGAGGAGGAGGAGGAGGAGGAGGAGGGGAGGAGAGGAGGAGGAGGAGGAGGAGGAGGAGGAGGAGGAGGAGGAGGAGGAGGAGGAGGGGGAGGAGGAGGAGGAGGAGGAGGAGGAGGGAGGAGGAGGAGGAGGAGGAGGAGGAGGAGGAGAGGAGGTGGAGGAGGAGAGGAGGAGAGAGGAGAGAGAGGAGGAGAGAGGAGGGAGAGAGGAGGAGAGAGGAGGAGGAGGAGGAGGAGGAGGAGAGAGGAGGAGAGAGGAGGAGAGAGGAGGAGAGAGGAGGAGACAGGCACGCTCATCAGGGGCACGAGTCAAGCTCCCAACATTACAGAATAAAAAAGAGATTGCTCAAGCTCCTCGAGTGCGCTACAATTAGCGGTGCTACGCACTTGGGGGGGGCCCGAAACGTCCCTACGGAGCCCAGAACGGAGGGAATCCCTGGGTCCAGAGACGGTCCCACAAACAAAACTCGATGGGCTACTATCACATAGTAGGCGAGAGGAGGAGGAGGAGGAGAAGCAGGAGGAGGAGCAGGAGCAGGAGGAGCAGGAGCAGGAGCAGGAGGAGCAGGAGGAGCAGGAGGAGCAGGAGGAGCAGGAGAAGCAGGAGGAGCAGGAGGAGCAGGAGGAGCAGGAGGAGGAGCAGCAGGAGGAGCAGGAGGAGGAGCAGGAGGAGGGAGGAGGAGGAGGAGGAGGAGGAGGAGGAGGAGGAGGAGGAGGAGGAGGAGGAGGAGGAGGAGGAGGAGGAGTGGGGAGAGGCGGAGGAGGAGGAGGAGGAGGAGGAGGAGAAGGAGGCGGAGGTGGTGGAGGTGGTGGAGGAGGAGGAGGAGGACGTGGAGGTGGAGGTGGTGGATGAGCAAGAGGAAGAGCTGGTTGAGGCTCCATCTTCACCCTCCTCTTCGTCCTCGTCCTGCTTCTCCTCCCCGTTGCTGCTTGTTGCCAGAGGTGGCCTTGGTCCAAGGTTGCCCCAGCGTTTCCACGGAGGCCCACGTGGCCGTCCCCACGGAGGCCCACATGGCCTTCCCCACGGAGGTCCACATGGCCTTCCTCAGCCCCCCGCGAGAGGCCCAGAGGGCCCCGCGGGTTTCCAGGTGGCGCGAACATCTGGGGGCACCCTGGGCCAGAGCCACCTCTGACTACCTCCGGCCATGAGATCCGAAGTCGCCCTCAAAATTGCCTCAAAGGGAGAAGTCACGACCCGAAGCCTTGACCCCATCTGTCGTCGGCATTTCTCGAGCTGGTTCGATCCGTGCCAGGGTTGGAATGCGTGCGGAAATCGCTCGGTCAACAAGAAGGTGGCTCCAGGATTTCGAGAGGCGGACTGCAACCATTCTCGGAGGCCCGCGCGGCTGGCGCGCTCCGCGCATCAGGGAGGGGGTCCAGCGCCGACCCAAGACATCCGCGCGGACCTCCGAACGGTTATGTCCATCTGTTTCGTCTGGGGGGGAAGAGGCAGGGTGGACGAGAGGAGGGGACGCGTGGAGTGAGCATGCACCAGCTAGGGCCGCCAGGGAGGCCTGCGGGGCCGCGCCTCCAAGAGTGTCCCCGAGAGCCCGAGGAGAACTGCTCCTGCCCTCCTTCCTCCTTCAAGAAGGGTCCTCTTCAAAAACGGTTAGGTCGGGCGTGTCCCCCTGCAGGCGGATTTTGGGCGAAAAATTCAAACACACCCCAACAATATTCAAACATAGCAGAAAAAGTCAAAAGATCGTCCCGATGTTATTTTTCGACTATCTTTGAATGTTCCTCCTTAGAGGGACAGGCCCGACTTGAAAAAGGGTCTTCAGGGTCCAGGAAGTCGTTTCATTCAGCAAG